CAAAACATCTTCACAGAAGGACAGTTTAGAATGATAAGCTACAAAAACTAAAAAAAAAGGTTTCACTGTCAAGTTAAGCTGTTGTTCCCCTAACAATTTAATTTTGCTTTCATGTTAGCTTCTGCTTTTGGTGTAAGCCTTACCTAATATATTAAAAAATAGATCTAAGGACACCATTGTCTAAAATTACATGAGTTTAACACAATATGATAAAACAACAACAACTTGGGTTAGCCTTACTGTGTTTGCTCTTTAAGTTCTAGTCCACCACGTCCTTACCATGTCATCAAGCATACATTACGGAGGTGAAAAAATGGTAACCTCTGTGGATTAAAAAAATACAACAAAGGAGAAAAGCTGAAATTTTACTTTTTGACATAGGTTGAAGGAGTGCGGCCAAGACTGCATTTTTAAGTCAGAATGAAATATAGCAAAGTTAAAAACAAAGCATGAAATAAGAGGTTTTTAAGTGACTTTTTGAAAAGCTTTTTTAATATAGCCCTATGAGGATTGTTTGTTGTCTTCTCTTACCTCCAGCACAGACACAGGCCAGCCACTGCCTCTCCTCAGCACTGATGCTCTGTGCCCGGCTAGATATTAAGATTTGTAGATATCTTGAAATGTATTTCTTATTAGTACAAATTCGATTCCAGAGCATTTAAAATTTTATATCTAGTGGTAGAAATGTAATTAGTGATATCTAAAATACAATTCTGACTAGGAACTTTGTAACTGTGACTAGGTAGAATGCTTTGGTGCTATCTATAACAGAAATGTGACTAGTCAGCCTGCCTATTTTATGTTCAAACGGCGCCCCATTTATATTTTTGAATGTCAGTCCAAATATGTTTTTTTTAATCTAAAACTGTATTTTGGATAGAAATCTGTAATGTTACATTCATTTTTGATATCTGAAATAGTAATTTTAACTAGCAGTAACTCTATTATGGAGATCAGAAATTAGAATTCATCCTAGTCAGAATTCATTTTTAGATATGAAGAAGGTATATTTTAGATAGGAAGAATGTTATTTTACATTTCTGAAATGTTCATTTTGACTAGGGAGAAATGCACATCTTAAATATATATTTAGTCAAGCTAATAAATGTCAAAAGGGCCACTTCAAGGTTGTAAATATTTCTAGGTATTTGAAAGTTTATTCTTACTAGTACAATTATGTTTTTGGCAGGCTGAAATGTAATTTGTGCTGGCAAAAATATAATTTAGGATATCTTTATGTACATTTCTGGCTAGTAGGAATGTAGTTTTGATTAGGAAAAATCTTATTGTTCCATTTCAACACATGGAACAATAGAGAGGACAGCGCTTCTAATAAAAGTCAAAACGGCCTTCCGTATACTTCTCCACCTTTGGTTCAGATTCTAGAAATACAAAATAGATTTGAGCCAGAAGACCTGAGAACTCTGCGGGTCTGATAAAATGAAAACAAATCTATAATCTGTAGGCAGCAGCATTCTGGATTGGAATGACAGAGGAGGACTAGATGGAAAAAGCCTGAGAATCTTCATCAGTTAAGGTCAACCTTATCTGTTAAACAGGGGAGCAGTAATATACTGTATATCAGGCATGCTGCCAGTGGAACTAGATCATTGGTACTTATTGACAATGTGACTGTAGAGGACAATAGCTTGATGCATTCTTAACTATATAGGTAATATATATGAAGAAATAAGAGGTGGATATGAGGGAGAGTGAAATAATGCAAACAGATAAGCATATATTTATAAAACTCACAACGATCGACACTGCAGAGAGGCTTATCAGGGCTTATTGTACACTCCTTCTATGAAAGGGCTGTTAAAAACAATAAAAATAAACCATAACCTCATATAAATATATTCATAACCTGAGTAGAAAGCCACAGTGATGTGAGACAAAATAAGCAGATTTGTACCATAACAAACCTTTTTTGTCTTTTCTTATATACAGAAAAAAGCATATACATTTTGTTATCTATACGTCTATACTTAATGTCTGCATGCTGTAAGTGCGGTAACAAATGTCAAACACCTTTACTGGGTTCACAATCATGGTCAAATAGAGCAGATTCTAATTCTTTATATGATCTCTGAATTTCAGAAAACCAACAATGTATAATGCATTTAATCAAAGAATTCAGCTTTTCTTTTCTCTATCGTTTTCAAGAAATCTCATTCAGTGACTCTTTCTGATTTTAGAATCACAGCATCTATCACAGAAAATTCCCTTTTCCTCTTAAGCTCAATGAAACTCATTACTTTTACTTCAGTTCACCATACGTATCAGCAATCAGGCTGATATTCTCTCTAAAAATCCATTACCACAGGTGTTAAAACCAGAACGTTTCCTCTAGTGATAATATGCGGCTTTCATATAAATATACCTCTGTCATACCACCAGTCATAACTTCAGCTTAGTAATTTGTGCATCTTTTGTGGTGATAATGCAAAACTGACAGTTTATTACATGCTGTTATCTTGATATGCCTTTGAAAGCTCCTCTGACTTGAAAGTAATTTGAGTTTATCCAGTGGAGAGCTCCAGATAGGCTCTCTGCTTCAACGAGGTATTACAAATCAATCACAGGATAACCCCACAAAGGCCTTGAGGGGGAACTGTATTAAAGTTACTTTACTCTAAACAAGCAGGCATGGTGAATTATTATGCAAAACAAAACTGCCTTCTGAGAAGATATTGAATGGAACTTAGGTTCAACCTTATCCATTGTCTGGAAGCAATGCAGAGCATTTCTGCATGCATCGTCCACATACTTTAACCCTCTGACCAAGTTTAACTGAAGACTGGTTATACTAATACAAAAATAGCTAATAGCTAATACATTCCACTAAAGAGCACTTTATCCTTTTATCTAAAGCAGCAAAGGGCTGCTACAAAGAAGACCCAGTCTGTCTGTGTTTGCACTGTCAAAATGAATACAAGGGACTCTTAAAAAGTGGAGCAGGTGAAAGGAAAAACGAGATGAGAGGATGCACAGAGGGACACAGCTATGGATGGACAGATGGATGGATTTCAGATCTAATTTGCCCCCCCTCTTTTTACTGACTGCTTGACAAACCCGGGAGTCTGGGATTTTCTGTGGCCTGTGGCGTGGCTGCAAAGGAGCCAGATACTCGAGGGCTCACAGTCTGTTTGACTCAGAGGAATATGAACAAAAGGGGGCAATTGTAATGAGAGCTGACAAGCCCGCTCGTTTAGGCAATAGATGCAGACTTATAACTTACTGGATGCCCAAACTACTGCGTGATATTTGATAATGCATGCTTTTTTTTCAGCACAGTTGTTAATCACCTATTAAACTGTTATTATTGATTAAAATTGAGCATGCTTACCAAACAAAAGATATGCATATATCCTAAAAACTAAACTAGAGGAAATATGTAACAGCCAGTTAAATAATTTCAAAATTTCTCAAACAGGAAGTGGTATTACTTGGAAGAACTGTTTCTTAGTGACATTGCCTGTACCCAAACAGACTCCTTATATGCCCCATAAGGCATTGTTAATGTTTAGATGCTTTTTTCTCATTTGTTGGAGATAAATTTACTAGAGATGCACTGATAAAGTTATTCCCGATCCAATTTGATACGTATACCTAAGCTGAGCGTATATGCCGTTATCAGATACGATCCTATTCAAATGTTGAATGAATGAACCATATATCTTTCCATGTGAGTGAACACCTAATCCTCAACATAAACACTGTAAAAAAAAAAATACAGATATAAATGTACTTTATATTATTTATTAACAAAGAAGCAGCAAAAAGAAAGATATAACAGTTCCATGTAAAGTGCACTGGATTTAATATCTGATTCAGCTAATTAGTCAATATCAGAGCCGATATCTGATCCAGTTATTGGGTTTGGTGCATCTCTGGAATTCACTACAGAAGATTGTTTAAAATGTGTATTTAAAACCTATGAAGGAACATTTCACTGGTATGTAGTTAGAAGCACCCCTGTGTATACAATAACTTTAAGGCAAAAACATAATTTAACTGATTTAAACTTGAACCCTATCTTTTAACCCTTGTTGGATGAGAAAGGGGTGCAATAGGAGTCCCAGACGTCGAGTCTTAGAGAAGTCTTTGGAGCACAGGGCTAAGGTAAGTTAGATTTCCTTTGATTATGGCGCTTTGGTAGAACAAGGGTCCAGAGCTGTGGTTGGCATATAGTACATTTACTGAAGTTTTTCCAACATGCTTACTAAATCCACTTTGATTTGAATAAACTGGAGCACCTACTTGCTCAGGCTTATTAGATAACTAATTTGCAATCTCCATTGTCTTCTGGCTTTCCCTGAAAAGCGATCTGATAAATTAGATTATGCATGGTCAGCTTCTGTTATTTCCTGCTTCCACACAGGCAGCAGCAGTTCCCTTCAAACTAACTCTGTTAGTTAAAGAGGTCTTCTAAATTACTACCCTGTCAGATAGCAGGTCACACACTCAGGAGACCGAGGCACCCATGCCTGCCCCCTCTGCCACACCCGCGTCAATACATCCCCTCTTTAATTAGCTCATTATCCTAAGCATCAGCTGGTATAGCTCTACATAGGAAGAAAAAACATCAATGAGCATAAAAAATATGCTGAGACAATATCTGGAGAATAATAACCTTGGTATGCTTGATGCTTTTAGAGAAAAGGAACAAAGGTGCACCTGCTTCCTACATGGGCCCGATCAGCATGATATAAAGGATGCGCTCATTCTGCGCTGCTTATTAAACGACCATATTGACCATGTTAACGCTGTGTGGCAACACCCTCCACCTCCGCCCAATGATCTCTGCTCACAAAAGCGACATCTTTGCATTTAAAAGCCCTGTTCCAGCAGCAAAGCGCATCACTGCCATGAGATGAGGTCCTCCTCTTCCTCTCTCTGCTTCTGCACAATTGGCACTTCGCAATAACCGGTGAACGCAGCAGGCATGCACCTGCGGGCGCTGTCAAATCAGGACAATACGATTAAAAACTGCTTACCTGCCTTCTTAGGTCCGGATGTCAAGATTTTGGACATTGAGTTTGCAGGACCCTGCCGCCACCGCCCCGGAGACTATCTTTCTCTCTCCTTTCTCAGTCTCTCTCTCTCTCTACAGTGGGGAGATGCAGCTCTGCAGACTGGGACAGCAGACAGGCACAAGCCGGTAGCGGTGGCTAACAATCAGGGAGCCTTGGTGGACAGAAGAGGGGCGTTTGCATGGGGGAAGAAAGGGAAACTCCTCACGTCGTGCGTAATATTCTGCGCGCATGACTCGCGGCGTTGTTAAAATGTAACTGATTTTTGGGTCACTGCTTCTGAGCTCTCTCATTAGAAAAGGATACTGCAAATTCAGACTGATATTTTCCAGCAGAGGCGTAGCCAGAACATTTTTATAAGGGTGGCCTGGCAATAACCTACGGAAGAGGATTAGGGCCACTGAAAAAAAAAGAAAAAAGTTAACTGATTTTTACATTTTATTTCAGTATGATAGGAGAAAAAAGTCAGAATTCTGAGGTTAAAGTCATAATTCTCAGAAAAAGTCAGAATTCTGAATTTAATCTCAGAATTCTGAATTTAATCTCAGAATTCTGAATTTTGCCTCACAATTCTGACTCTAATCTCAGAACTCTGACTGAATTCTGACAGCTAAAAAACATGTTAGCATCTGCTCTTTCATTAATGAAATAGTATTAGCGGGGACCCATCAAGCATGTAAAAAGTCTGTAATTTTGAGTGCTCTCACATCTCTTCATTCATGGTGCCCATCTACATTAAGTAAAATTCTGAGATTAAGGTCAGAATTCTGAGAAAAAGTCAGAATTATGTGATTAAAGTCAGAATGCTGAGATTAAAGTCAGAATTCTGACTTTTTTCTCATATTCTACTGAAATGAAATGTAAAAATCAGTTAAAATTAAAAAAAAGAAATTTCAGTGGCCCTAATCCTCTTCCGTAATAACCAATGTACACTGAGGGGTGGCCAAAAGCGGATAGGCACCAGAACCTCAGCGTCAATCTACACTATTACAACAGCAAAATGAATGAGCAAAGCATCTATATTTTCTAAATAAAGGCAAGGCAAGGCAAATTTATTTGTATAGCACAATTCAGTACAAAGACAAAGCAAAGTGCTTTACATGATTAAAATATATTTTAAAAAAAGCAGAATCATAGCAAGTAGGAAAAAATAAGAAAATAAATAAATAGAATAAAAAAAAAAATGCAGACTCCATAATGACCTCTTTACCAACTTCTGTATACCCTGTTGACTTTATAGGTCCCGGACCTATTTATTTCAAACACAATGTTGTTTTTCCAAACCACAAGATCAACTATACTTTCCTACAGCCTTTGCTAACAAATAGACACATATATGTTTAAACATCCGTAATTTCTAGATTAAAGGTAAAGTGGATAAAACTGTTTCAGTTTAGAGTTCTGGGGCATAAATCTTTTCCATTATTACCCACTTGTGTCAATAAACATTCTGCATAACATTGATGTTAACAAGCACTAATATCTACATAAATTGATTATTTGATAAGTTTTATTAAAATTGTTATTTATGAGTTCACTGAAGAATCCTAGATGACTTGCAAGACATATTTTTCTCTTTACCCCATATAACACAAAATGTAGTTCTGAAAAGTGCATGAATTATGTACTTATTATATTTGATGTTAGTATATTGATGTGTATGAATAACCACAAAAAATTAAAATGTTTTGAATATTCCACTTGAGAGTATTACTGCTGCCACCATCTGTATTAGAGGGGGGGAAAATGGTACAGTAAGGGTGGCCACAGGGGTGACCGTGCACCCAATACCCCCCCACCCGCCATATAGCTCTGCCCCTGCTTTTCAGATACCCAAATACTCAGTTTACGTAACCGTATGAATTAATTTATAATTCTTATTATTTATTCTACATTTTAAAAGTAACTGTGAAGTGAAAATAAAGGAAAATATGATTTTGTATATGCATTTAATTCTGTCTAAATCCAAAATCTTTGCAATATCATGTGAAAAGAACCCACCCTAGGATACAATGTGCTATCAACAAAAATATACCTTTTATGTAATTGTCTTATGGAACATAAATGAGGCAAGAACAGCAAGGAACACTTCATACAGATTGAGGACAAAGCTGTGGAGAAGACTGTCCAACATAACAGAGAGAGTATGAAACAACCTGAAACCCACTAAAGCCTCTGCTTTTCATCTAAGGTCACAGCGAATAATCAGATTAAGAAAAGCAGCTAAAAAAGAGAATCTGCTGACAGGAAAACTATGAGTCATATGCACACCTTTCATTAAACATTAAAAAAAGTATACTCTTCTTAAAGATTTAAAAAAAAAAAAAAAATCAACAGTGTAGAAGTAAAGCATGGTGTTAGCAGCATAAATGCCATGGAATGGCATCTGGTCAGACTGGGAATGGAAGCAGATCTATCCATAACCAAACAATCCAACTTATAAACCTGGACCAAGACTTTGGGATCAGATCCAGCCAGCTCTATGTCCAGATGCAAATGTGTGTAAAACATGGGTGGTTCTAAACAGTGGCCACTAGTGGAAGTGCCTCTCTAGGGCTTTTCGTGGCCGCTGAAATGATGAAAAAAAAAACACAATACATAAGTTGAAATATAAGTAAATCAGTTTTTTAATAAATAACTTTATTTACCCATTTTTAGAGCAGTAAAACCATTTGCTGATGGAATGACACGATTTATGTTTAAAATCAGAAAAATTTTATTTCAAATGCATACTTTTCTGATTATACTATTTCAAGGATAATGTACCCATTCCTTTGGCATATTATTCTCATTGCTCCCCTCCACTAGTTAGAACTGAAGAAGCCTCTTGTAAAATTGTACGTCCAGTTGCCTAGATTGAACTTTTTCAAGCTTTTTCAAGCCATTCCTTTGGCCTATTATCTTATTCACTTGCTCAAATAAGGTCAATATATGCCTATTTTAAGGAATGTTTAATTAATTTTAATTCAGTTTTTAGTGTTTTATAATAAATCAATTTCATATGATGGTATGCGCTGACAGAGGAGAACTGATTTGTCTTTATATTTTATTTATTATTTACTTTCAAAATTACTTAGAAATTACAGTCAGCTTTAAGCTTCAGCCATATTAGTAAAGGTTCATAGTTTTCATCTGTTAAATAGCAACCTTGGCTAAATTGTGTGGCCTGACCAACTTTTTTTCTTGTAATTTTTATTCTGTTGTCCTGCGCACTCATGAAAAAAACATTGGAAGATATAGAAATTAAAACATGCATAAATCATGTACTGTATTACCGTCATATCACCCTTCCATATAGGACTATTTTGAATTGGTTTATCATTTACAAAAATCTCATAAAAATATATTCAAGTTTGTGGTTGAAATGTTACGAAATAGAAAACTTAAGGGGTATGAATATTTTATTCCAGGACTCTAGTGTGTGGTTTGTTTGTTTATATCTGTCATTTAGTGACGCCGCCTTACAGAATCATACTGATGTTCTGAATATTTTCATATTCATATGCATATGTCAGCCCATCTTTAACTCACAAGATCCAAAAAGATTTGTCATATTGCTGCTTGCATATTGCAAGCTGTGGGCTGAATGGATGAAGGCTGAGTGCGTGATGTATTGCTTCAGTGACTCACAGGAACCTTCTGTACTGAATGCCCTTTCTGGCATTCATACACAAGTGTGCTGTTGAAATGCAAATGTACATACAGGAAAATCAATTCCTTTCACGCTTCACTGGTTTTCCTTCAGTTAGATCTGCAGAAAAAAAACAACTCTTATCTTATGCGGGGTATAAATCTACTCTATAATCCGAAGATTGTATAATTATAAAAACAAATCAATATTCAATCATTTATACATATGAATTTTTGATTGCAATCTTTTTAGAACACAAACTAATATCCCAAATACTTTATGACATCAATAGATTACTATGGTCAAAGCTTGAAGTTGCAAGTGGCGATACTTACTTTTGTCCACATGGTGTCGTTCATACACCACAGTCACACTTCCAAACAAAGCAGAGGGTGATAAGAAAAGAGGATTAACACAGCACTCTTTTAACAACAGTCACATGTTAGATGTGCTAAATTATTTTTCTTTTTTTGCTTTGCACCTGCGTAATGTTATTATTCATGCCATCACTGTTAAAATCCTAGACTGCTTTGCACATGTGAAAAATGTGACAGCCAGTCCACCCTTTTATGTGAAGTATTATCATTTTGACTTTTATTGGAGCCAGAGCAGTATCTCATCTCTGCTGAATTTGAACTGTTGTATTATGAGACATAAAAGAAGAAAGGCAAAGATAAAAAATTATATGCACTGTTCTATTTACAAAAAAAAGCATCTAATGGGTTTTTACAGAAAATCTTCAGTAACTGTGTTTTCGTGAAGGGTGGAGCCATAATCGCTTTAAAAGCACATTTATGTAAGCTGAAGTTACATTTATGTAACTTAGGTAGGTAATATGCAATATTGAAGTTCAATAAATGATTCATTTGTCTTTGGATGAAGAAATGAACAAGTAGATTTAGGTCTGGTCTTTGATTGTGTCAACACTTCAGTCTGAGCACTCAGTTCCGTTTGTACTAAAAGGTGAACCTCCCCCACCTTCTCAATTTTCAGCCTTTAGCAGTGTTTTTCCAGTATTATTCAGCGTCTAGTTCTGTTTGTCTTCTAGTTAACACTGACTGTGTTTCCTCCCCCTGGTAAAGTAATGTTGCTGCTGCTACTATGTCTCATAGTAGCGAGGCCATTGTTGTTGTTGTTTTTTTGTTTGTTTTTTTCGCTGCAAAATTAATTATTATAATAATAATAATTCTTAGGATATTTGTATTACCTAAATCTGCTTTGAGCTACATTAATGCATGTCACTATAAAACCCCAAAAGTCAAACAAATTGTAGCCTCTATTTTTACAAAAACTTTTTTTGATAAAAAAACATCTAGGTATTAAATGATCACCATATCAAGATTAAAGTCATTTTCTTCACAATCCAATCAAACCACTTGTGGCTTTGTGGTTTAAAAAGTGAGATGTGTTTTTTTATAATTCAGTTTAGTCCACTTTTGAGAAAATATTTTTATACACACTCCTATCAAAGACTGCCTGTTGTATTGAAAAACCTAAATTCAGTGTTGAATGTAGCAAATAAAGAACATGATTGTGTTTTATTCTTTCATGCTTATAT